GAATGGTACGCAACTTGTGGGATTCGTCTACCGTCAGGCGCCATGGCGATGCTAGATCCAAAACTCATAACTTCTTGCAACGTGCTAAAAGGGGTACGATTTCCAACTTTCAGGGAAAATGTAGCGACTTCGCTCGCAATAGAGTGGCAGCATTGTTTTCATCCAACGGAGCGCCCCAGTACCTCTGATGTATATTCATAAGCGCCGAAAAACGTGCCCAGTACTTCAGAATAGCGACCAAACTCGTAATCTGCCCTGCTGGTTTGAAGTGAACGAATCCAGAAGAGTCCTTTGTGATGCCCGAAATGGACTTACACACAATCAATCGATGGGTTGGGAACGCGAGGAACTCGTTCGGCTCATGCTCGTTATCCAAGTTAATGCGAAAAATTACCCCAAGAACATCGTCGAGCAACTTTAGGTGATCTGGTCCAATAGCGTCAGGACCTGAGCTCAGAATCGAAAGGAACCTTACTGGCTATATCGGTATTAGCAGCAGGGTCGTTCCGTATGAGGCACTGGGTACGTGCATGCAATCGTACCATCCGAAGAAGAGAGCCTATCGTTTGACAGTACTTTGTTCCACTCTCTTGAATCCGATTGATCTTTGATGCTGGGATGACTTCGTCTCCTGTTGACGAGAAAAGACGTTCGAACAAGTATGCTCGCGTACCAATTATCTCTTGGCCGATCTCCCAGTACCGAAGAATAACCGGAAACACGTACTCTAACAGTTCATCTTCGCAATCAAACTTGACAGAGCTTAGTAACGCGGATATGTCATCGGTGCAGTACGTTTGGACCACTTCATACCACCTAAACTGCCTTAGAAATGGTGACACAAGGCGATCGTCAGATGGAGGAACATGAGCGAATTCTTCTGCATACTTTTTCAGTAAACGGTTGACCGCCTGGAGCATCGCATCGTCACCATGAGGTGTCTCTTGCAAGTCGGAGACAGCGAAATATTTTAGCCTCGGTCCAAGAAACAAAGTTTGAATCATGCAGCGACTAAATACAGGTGGGCGAATGCTGCGGTGGTCTGTGTGAAAGTGTTTTCCCATAGTGTCTTTCAGTGGCGTGTAATATACACAGATACCACAGCTAAAGCCTGGAGTGACTTCAATACCATCCACCACTTGTCGTAACTCTCCTGAGCTTTCTGAATATTTCTGAAGTGCATTCGTGTCTGCGAATTCAAGCGACTCGAGTTTACCCTCTAGATCATCACTTGACAATGTTATGTCATGTTGCCTTCTGAAGTGCCGTGCTACTTGATCAGCACCGGGATTTATCGCGTGGCGGCACAGCGAGCAAATCAGTAAGCCAAGTCGCGCATTGTACTCCACAGCCGCATCAAGAACAGGTAGCGCACGGGTATGTAAACCTGGTTTCTTCTTCCAGGAAGTATTCAGTCTTGGCATGCACATAGCCGAGTGCTTACGAAGATGCTTGGGATCCAAAAATCGCTTGGGACAGCTTAGACACTTGAAAAAACCGTCAATCCGTTCAACTTCGACGTATACGCTTGCTGCTTCCTCAGAATTTTTATATAGCGCACACTTCACTTTGTGCTGGTGAACCACGCGAATATGCGTCTTTCGCTGCGCATCTGTTGGAAACAGTTCTTCGCACTGGCGGTAAGGATAGCTCCGAGATAGAGTGGGTTCCATTCTTAGTGCCAACCCTGCGTTGAAATAGCGAGAACTAGATCCCTCCAATCGTCAAAACACCAGCTCCTCGCGTAGCACACGAACTTATCCACAACGTCGACCACCACACTAACCCGCAACCAGCCACAACACTCGAAATCACAACACGCAAAATTAACTCCACCGCCACTTTATCGAGACTCCACAGAGAAGAACGCGTAAATCAACGAGTCCACAACCAGTCACAAAGTTCGGAAACCCTCCACAGCCGCTCTAACGATACTCCAATGGGATGAACAAGCAATTCAACACGCGTCGCCACTTTATACCGAACACGTCTGCGAATAACACCAAGGTGGCCGCAAATGACCGTAGCTTCCACCTCAAGTCCCCAAACACAAAATGTGTAATGACCGCTCGTTTGTTGTCAAATTGTGGTACACAGTACCACTATGGCAGTGATCTCGAGAGTCAGTCCAATGTACTAAGTACCCTCCAGCAAATCCTCCTCGCTCTCCCTTGTCCGGTTTTGCAATCTGTTAAATATGCAGACGACGAAAGTATCCGGTAACAACAAGCCCAAAAAGTCGTGCAATGAACAACAACGGCCTTGACAGCTAATTAGATTTGATCAGTATACGATAGCTGTATATTATACTCTTTGTGTAGTTTATCAGGCCATTTGTGCCGTTTATGATAGCGTTATTGTGTTTTATGTATATCAAAGTGTTTAATCAGTAGTGACGGGTGTAAATATACCTGTGTTTACTACCGCCTTACCCCGCATAGTGCGCATAGGCGCACAAATAAAATATAGCGCCCAGTGAGCGGAGGATTCATTTAAACTGTCTAGGAGCTATGCTATGGACAAATCCTACAACGTTGAAGACGGGCCACCACAATGGTACTGAGCATAGGTTTGCCAACAAATATGCCTGCACTGATCCAAAATTCTAATGGGCTGACGGCTCAACCGGTTCAAGCATGGATTGGCAAACTGCTGGCCAATGGTTCTTTTGAGCTGGGGGAATGTTGCTTTGGAGAATGAGTTGAAAAGTAAGGATGTTAAAGAGAGCAAGTGTCGCTGGCTTCAGCAATGGTTGGTTTGTAGCCGAGTCTGACCTTACATTATCGTAAATGTATAGGCATTGGTTGTGAGTCCATGTTACCCTTCTCCGAAGGTGTCCTTGTATGAGACTCTGCATTATAATTGGGGTTTTCATGATGGGAGTTTGACACCATTTTTTATTACTACACCTATGCGCTTTATGCGGGGTAAGACGGTAGGGAGGCGGAGTATTTAGTAGAGGTGCCTACGAGACTTGACCGCGGCCAGGCTGCGATGGCTGCAGGAACTCACTTGCGGAGTGTGTGTCCTACAGTGAGGTTGAAGTGACGGTGGGTGCGAGGGAGATTTCCGATGAGAGGTCCGCGGACTTCACGGAATTACTCGTACGTGCGTGCACTCA